ACGGTTAATTTTTCTTTTTTGTGAAGCACATTTCTAAGCCTATAAGTTTCTTACTAGATGAGCTAACGGGGTCAATCAATCGTCATTTTGTAGAGCGTTTTTTACTGCATCTTTTCTTCACAGAGACAAATTTACAACCACTTGTTTCACTATAGAAAAAGTTATTATTTAAATCGAGTCAGGACCTCTGGCCCACCCTTTAGAATGGACTGAACATTTTATGAACCGAAACAGACGTTTCAGAGCACACAGAGAAGCAATAGTATATACATACTTCTTATTCTATTTGACTACTATTGCACTTCTGCAATACAGACCCCGTACAAATGACGAATTGTCATCTAGCTATGACAAGTTGGACCGTAATATTCTTTGTTGTTTTCAAATCATGAGGTAATTTCGTACTAGTCACCTGCGTAGCAAAATATTTCACTTTCATTTATCATAGAAGGTATCATACCTAATTTCGAATGTCCGAAAGGGAAAAGTGATTATTTTTCGGACAACCACAGTTATCGACGTTATCATTATTGTTCCAATGACACTGATATCATCATGAGATGTAACCGTTTTTCTCTATTTGATCCGACAGATCAAACATGCAAATGGTTTTTAGCGGTAAAAAGTAGCCCGTATGAGGTAGAAGGAGTCTATAATGTTCGTTATTATCCAGGTCAATTGTACACCGACGCCGGATGATTATGTTGAACCTGTAGATACGAGTGAGTTCTAACTACTGGTCATTCTTTTTGTATATACAACTATTTATTCCTAGCTACAACTTCCTCGTACACCGTCAGAGACGTCCATGATATTTGTGCTGTCTAGCCCGACAAGGATTTTGAATTTCCAGCATTTATATCCTTGTCGATCTACCATCATTGTCATTATGGTAACAGTTCAATCGTCGAATGTCCAACCAAGATGGCCTATTACAGTTCAAAACCGGCAAGCTTGAGAATTTATTTGTGTGGTGAACGAACCTCTTAAACGAATTATCTTCCTGATTTTCAACCTAACGGACTGCAATCAGTTTCCAGCGACAATAAAACAGAGAGCTAGTGTATTCCCTTGAATTTCGTTCGAAACTGAAAAGTTGATTTAAAATTTGAAACTTTTATCTTTATTTCATAATAAATGTAAGTGTAGTTTTACAAATAAAGTACTTTTCTCCTCTTGAAACAAGATTTTACTCTTTGTTTCATTGTCAATAGTCGCTGCGATCTTCTTTCGTATTTTGATCTAATATGAATACAGATATTAGACTATTCTCTCCTATGACGCTCGCTACAGCATGGAACACGCCTGATAATATCAAACAAACGTGATCACCTCTCGATGTTTTGTTTAGAATGAATGTCTATCAGTCTTAATAATCGTAAAGCTATTTTCTGATAAAGTTTTCTAGTCTATCATCCATTTCTCTCAGCCATGGTGTGTGATGTTGTATCGCCGTCGTATCTGTTAATGTTGAAGCGTATGTTTTTTCTCTATAAGTAATCAAATTTTCAAATCTCGATTTAAGACATTCGAGCAGTATTTTAATCATTCCATCAATATCGAAACGTGGATAATCCGTTGCATCGATCAAATCAAGAATATATTCTTTTAGAAAATTGGCTTTATCGGGAAAATTCTGAACTGCTTCTTCTTTTACTTGCCACAGTTTCATATCAAACTGCATTTTGTCTTTCGTTGAAGGCAAAGTGATTTTTCCTAGAATAACATCTCGAGCATACCATGCTTGAATATTACCAACATTAAAACTAAACGCTTGCATCTGCATGCCCAAATAGATTAAACGAGGCTGATTCAACCAAATCATACTCTTATATAAACCAGGTGGATAAAGACAATTAGTCGACTTTAGACGAAGATTATTATCAAGAAACGGGAAATAATGTAAATAACCAGTACAAAAGATGATTGCGTGCACATCTTGAGAAGAATCATCCTTAAAATATACAGTTTCTTTATCAATCTTAACGAGTAGTGGTACTTCTTTGACTTCATTTGGCCATTTGAAACCCTTTGGTTTAGTTCGATATGAGAGCGTAACTGATTTTGCTCCATACTTATACAGCTGTAAAGCAATGTCTTCAGCGGAAAACCCGTTACCAATAAGCAATACATGTTTGTCAGCAAAATCTTGAGCAGAACGAAAATCATGAGAATGTAAAATTCGACCGAGAAATGTTTCTATTCCATTGAAATATGGTATGTTAGGCATTGAGAAATGGCCAGTAGCTACAATAACATAATCAAATTCTTCAGATCGCGTTTCGTCTTTCCTCAAATCTTTGACTAAGACATTAAATTTCTTCTTGTCTTCAGAATAGGAAATCCACTGAACAACTATGTTAAACTGAATATACTGACGAACATTGTTTTGTTCTGCGTACCCTCGAATATAATCAGAAAAAACAGTTCGAGGTGGAAACGATGTGATTGGTTGACCAAAATGTTTATCGAATGAATAATCAACAAATTCTGAACATTCTTTTGGTAGATTTGTCCATAAGTTTTTATACATACTACTATGAACAGGTTCAGAATATTCATCAAATCCTGTTCGCCATGTATAATTCCATTGACCACCCAAATCATTTTGCTTTTCAAAACAGACTATTTCAGGAATTTGTAAACCGGATTTTCGAGCTGATTCAAATGCGTGTAATTGGCTAAGAGCTGAAGGACCCGCTCCACAAATTGCAACTCGAGTTGATGAATACATATCGATAAACTAGGCAGAAACTGTATCTGAAATGCAATAGAGAATAGTACAAAAAGAGAACTTGACATGCTTATCAGTGTATACTGAATTATTGACCTAGGCTGATTGTAAACTAAACAGCTAACCTGACGAAATAGGTTCTTCACTCAATAAGAAGTTATGATCGTAATTGAAATATCAGTATTACTATCGAAACGGAAAGGTCGTGCCGGTTGCCGTTTTTCAAATAACTTTTTAACGAAAGGTCTTAGCGGCCTGCGGTTTTCACCATCGTATAGAGGACACTTAAAGCCATATTTTCATAAGCAAAA